AGTAATTATGAAGTTGCTACATAAAAAAAGGGTGTAATGTAGGGTTTTTTTTGTTTGTTGTTGTTAAAATTTTTTTTGGTCTTTTATGGGGTGTGATGAAGTCTAGATAGCCTTAAATAAACTATAAAAAAGTATAGCTGAAAATCAATGATATAAATGTCCAACTCAGGAAAAAGATCAGCAAATTAAATGTTAAAAAGGTTAAAAACAATAAAATAAAGAGAAGAAAGTAATGATACAGAAATCAAACATAAAAAAAAGATTCTTTAAAAGCCAAATAAGATTGATAAACCCTAGGCAAGACTGATTCAGCTAAAAGAGAGAAGACAAAAAAAAAAAAAAAAAAGTCAATGTCAGGAATGAAAAGGGAGACATCAAAAAAATAAATAAATAAATAAAAATCAAAAAAGAAAAGGGAGACATCACCTCAGACCCATACAGACATTTAAAAGAGAGGATAGTATGCCAATAAATTTAAATTTTAGATAAAATGGATCAATTGCCAGATAAACACAATTTACTAAACTGAAACAAGAAGAAATAAGGAATATTAATAGTCCTATAACTACAGAAGGAATAGAAACTATAAACACCTTCCATAATAAAAGCATCAGGCCAACATGGCTTCCCCAATGAAATCTATGTATCTTTCCTGGGCGCCTGGGTGGCTCAGTCGTTAAGCGTCTGCCTTCGGCTCAGATCATGATCCCAGGGTCCTGGAATCGAGTCCCACATCGGGCTCCCTGCTCTGCAGGAAGCCTGCTTCTCCCTCACCCACTCCCCCTGCTTGTGTACCCTCTCTCGCTGTCTCGCTCTCTCTGTTGAAAAAATAAATAAAATCTTAAAAAAAAAATGTATCTTTCCCTCTCTCACAACTCTTTCTTCTCCTTACTATATAAGCTTATGGCCTTGCTTCATATTTTACTTTCAGTTCAAAAGCTATTATAATAGAATGTCTTGATCTTCCCATTACTGGTTGACCTATTATCTGCATCCACCTTCTTCAACTTTCCTAGTGTGATAGCAAAAGAGGTGGCCTCTCTGCCTATCGGTGGTAAATCCCTCCTTTTCCTTTCTTGAGTTTATTCCCTTTACCCTTCTCACCCAGTTTAGTTTTAGTTCTTCACTGATCTCATCTTGGTCTTGCAACGTTAATTTCGCCCTCTCCATTACGGCGTCATTGTTATCAGCACGCAAATATGCCATAAAAACTCTCATCTCAAATATAAAACAAAAGATTTTTGTTCTTTATTCCATATTTTCCTGTAGCTATTGCTCCATTTCTCTTTCCCTCTTCATGGTGGGGAGGGGGGAGTCTTCTCTCAAGAGTCATCTAAAACTATCTCTAATGTCTACTTTTCATTCATCCTTTCAAAAATATATAATATTTTTAACATTCAATGTTAATGAAAAGGACTGAAGATGACACAAACAAATGGAAAGATATTCCATGCTTATGGATTGGAAAAACCAATATTGTTAAAATGTCCATACTACTCAAAGCAATCTACAGATTCAATGTAATTCTTATCAAAATACCAACAAAATATTTCATAGAATTAAAACAAATAATCCTAAAATTTTCATGGAACCAAAGAAGACCCCAAATAGCCAAAGCAATCTTAAAAAGAAGAACAGGGGCGCCTGGGTGGCTCAGTCAGTTAAGCACTCTTGATTTTGGCTCAGGTCATGATCTCCACCCCCTTTCCAAAAAAAAAAAGAGAGAGAGAGAGAGAAGAACAAAGCTGGGGGTTTCACAATCTCAGATTTCATGATATTACAATGTGGCAGTAATCAAAACAGTATAGTACTGGCACAAAACCAGACACAGGTCAATGGAATAGAACAGAATAGAGAATCGAGAAATAAACCCATGTTTATATGGTCAATCAATTTATAACAAAGGAGGCAAGAATACACAATGGGGAAAAGACCGTGTCTTCAACAAACAGTGCTGGGAAAACTGGACAGCTACAAGCAAAAGAATGAAACTGGACCACTTTCTTACATCATGCAGAAAAATAAACTCAAAATGGATTTAACACCTAAATGTAAGAGCTGAAACCATAAAATTCCTAGAAGAGAACATACACAGTGATTTCTTTGACAGTGGGCATAGAAACATTTTTCTAGATATATCTCCTCAGGCAAGGAAATCAAAGGTAAAATTAAACTATTAAACACACCAAACTAAAAAGCTTTTTGCATAGTGAAGGAAATCACCAACAAAACAAAAAGATAACCTACTGAATGGGAGAAGATAATTGCAAATGATACATCTGATAAGGGCTTAATATCCAAAATATATAAAGAACTTAAACAACTCAGCACCAGAAAACAAATAATCCAATTGAAAATGGGCAGAAGACATGAAAAGACATTTTTCTGAAGAAATACAGAATGGCTGATGGAGACATGGTAAGATGCTCAACATCACTACTAATCAGGAAATGCAAATTAAAACCACAATGAGATACCACCTCACCACCTGTCAGAAAGGCTGAGATAAAAAACACAAAAAATAAAAAGTGTTGGTGAGGATGTGAAGAAAAAGGAACCCTCACATTCACTGTTGGTGGGAATGTAAATTGGTGCAGCCACTGTGAAAACAGTATGGAGGTTCCTCAAAAAATTAAAAACAGAATTATCATATGATCCAGTAATTCTACTAATGGGCATTTACCCAAATAAAACAAAAACACTAATTTGAAAAGCTATATATACCCCTATGTTTATTGCAGCATTATTTACAATAGCCAAGATATGGACGCCACCCAAGTGTCCACTGACAGATGAATGGATAAAAGACATGTGGTATGGATATACAATGGAATATTACGTGGCCACAATAAAGAATGAAATCTTGCCATTTGCAACAACATGGATGGACCTAGAGGGTATTATGCTAAGTGAAATAAGTCAGTCAGAGTGTAATGTAGGAAACAAAACAAATGAACAACAAAGAAAAGAGATTAAAAAAAAAACCCCAGACTCTTAAATACAGAGAACAAACTGGTGGTCACCAGAGGGGAGGTGGGTGGGGGATGGGTGAAATAGGTGAAGGGGATTAAGGAGCACACTTACCTTTTTTAGTTTTTTTTTTAATTTAATTTAATTTTATTATGTTATGTTAGTCACCATACAATACATCATTAGTTTTTGATGTGGTGATCCATGATCCATTGTTTTTGTATAACACCCAGTGCTCCATGCAGTACATGCCCTCCTTAATACCCATCACCGGGCTAACCCATCCCCACACCCCCCTCTCCTCTAAAACCCTGTTTGTTTCTCAGAGTCCATAGTCTCTCATGGTTCATATCTTCCTCCGATTTCCCCCCCTTCATTTTTCCCTTCCTTCTCCTAATGTCTTCCATGCTATTCCTTATGTTCCACAAATAAGTGAAACCATATGATAATTGACTTTCTCTGCTTGACTTATTTCACTTAGCATAATCTCCTCCAGTCCCATCCATGTTGATGTAAAAGTTGGGTATTCATCCTTTCTGATGGTTGAATAATATTCCATTGTATATATAGACCACATCTTCTTTATCCATTCATCTGTTGAAGGGCATCTTGAGGAGCAACTTATCTTGATGAACACTGAGTGATGAACAGAATTATTGAATCATTATATTGTACATCTGAATCTCATATAAAACTATGTTAATTATACTTGAATAAAAAATCTATAATATTGATACATGGAAAGAATATATGTAAAACATATTGAGTTACGGATGGCATCATGATAACATTCTCAAGTGAACTACAATCTATTTCTTTAATTCCATCTCCATTATCAGTTTAACAAAAGTTATCATCTTTGCCTAGACTATTGTAACAACCTCATTACCTGGTTTAATGTCCTCAAGTTCAATTTCCACACACAGAATTATTTCCTAGAAATCCTTGATTAAAGTCTGTCACTGCCTTCACACTCACTTTGATTAAAATCCAAATAGTTACCAACACCTACAAAGCTCTGAGTAGGCAGGCTGTTGTCTAACTCCGATACCAGTCTCCTGCTCACTGAGGCTTCAGTCATAGCAACCTCCTTTTCATTTCTAGAACACATTTCATTCTTTTCTGTGTCTGGTCCTTTGCCTGGAATGCTTCTCCTTTCCTCTTCCCTTGGCTGGTTGCTTCTGAAATCTTCAGGGCTCAGCTTTAATGTCCCCCGCTCAGAGGCCTTCCCTGACCATACTCTCTGAAGGAGGCACCTTCATCTCCATCCCAGTTACTCTTTCATATCCCCAAATTTATCTCATAAATGAAGGTTGTTACAACCATTATTTAGCTTCTTTTTATTTATATACTTGTTAATTTCTCACAATTTAATCTTTGTGATGGCAGGGACCTGGTCCATCTTACTCATTGCTGTAGACCTAGTGCCTAACCCAGTACACAGAATACAGATGCCCAATAAATATCAATTAAATACATAAATAAATACTGTATTTTGATTCTCAACTGATTCCTTGTTTGTATTTTCAGTGAGCGAAGAACCTGGAGGAAAAGAGGAGGGTTCCCCCCAAATTTCAGCAGGCTTGCAAGTGAAGAAAGTTAAATAACGAGTAAATAGGTTTGGCTTAAAAGGAACCAGTGATGACCCTTAGGAAGGCGTTTTCAGGAAAATTAATGAAGGAAGAGATGCCAGAAAATGGTTAAACAAATGAGAAAAATGTAAAGTTAACTGGAGAGGACAGAACTGAAAGGGGTGCTTCATGCATGTTTGAATGAAGGACTAAGTATGAAGATCATAGCCTCAAGAAAGCAAAGTAAGATGGGATTGGGAATCAAAAGTAGAGACTAGAGAGAGAAGAAGAAACAACAGGAGAGGGAAAAGGAGAGAGAGAGAGCAAGGGAGGGAGAGAATCTCTTCTTCTGAGATAGTTTTGAGCAAGGATACTCCGCAAAATATTTCAGATGTTCTGCTCCATCCATAACCTATAAACTTGAAACAAATCCAGTCCTCCTCGTTTTTATTAACTCACCTGGATAGGGAGTTCTTGCAATTTCTCTCTCTACAACACATGGTCCTTTTCCATCCTCCAAATGAGATATCATGTCTGGTTTGGAAACTGCGAGCCCTGTTCAGAAAGAAATGAATAGGACTTGACTGTGTCTGTGAGTAAGAACTATTGCCAAATTCAGTCTCAGCTCTTAATCTTCAGTGCAGAGTGGCTATTATGGGAAGTTCTAGAGATGCACTGCCCAATAGAGTTGTCAACAGCCACATGTGGCTATTTAAATTAGTTAAAACTATATAAAATTTAAAATTCAGTTCTTCAGTTGGACTAGCCAGATTTCAAGTTCTCAGTAGCCTCAAGTGGCTAGTGCCTGCCCTATTGTACAGCACAGATACAGAACATTCCCAGCACAACAGAACATTCTATTGTACGGTGGTGTTACAGATGATTACAAAGGAGCTCAACACCATGATCCCAGGTTTTCTGGGATAATAGAACATGAGAATAATCTGAGTTTAGAAAGAAAATGAACACATTTTTTCCTTTCTTTCTGGAGGTACTGATAACTCCCATTTATAAAAGTGATCAGAAAAAACTTTAGTTCTAAATATGGGCTACTGTCAACAATCTACAAGATTCCAATGAAATATGTATTCCTTACTCTACAATGGGTGGGCCACTTAATTAAGAGCAAGGGATAGCATGACTCCCAACAACATCCCCCTAATATGAGATCTTAATGCCTAAACTCTAACCCCAAGTTCAGTTAAGTACTTTAGAGGCTCTATATCTTCAGCAAACCTGATCAAGTGGGTAGATGCAGGAACACAGAAGTTATTCTTACCCAGGGAGACAAGATTCCTATAATTCTCTAGCATCACATCCTTGTGTAGGTTCCTCTGTGAAGGGTCCATCAACCTCCACTCTTCTAATGTGAAGTCTATAGCCACATCTTTAAATGTCACGGAATCCTAAAATAAATACACTGTGATCACCCAGGGACTACACAATGAGACCTGCTGGGCAGAATAATACATATAAAACTGGAGGAATACTCCAGAAATCAGAATCACCAAATGACCACTGAAGTTCATCCCTTAAAGGATGAGTGAATCTCTGCACTGGTAAGAACTTAAAACCACAAGAGGAAGCCCATTCCATTTCCTGAGGTTTTTTTTTTTTTTTTTTTAAAGATTTTTATTTATTTGAGAGAGAGAGAATGAGAGATAGAGAGCACGAGAGGGAAGAGGGTCAGAGGGAGAAGCAGACTCCCTGCCGAGCAGGGAGCCCGATGTGGGACTTGATCCCAGGACTCCAGGATCATGGCCTGAGCCGAAGGCAGTCGCTCAACCAACTGAGCCACCCAGGCTCCCTCATTTCCTGAGTTTTACTTGAAGCAGGATTTTCTTTTCAGACTAATTCAAATCTGGCTTTCTCTAACTTTGAAATATTGGTCTTACTATATTATCTGGAGCCAAACAGTATGGTTTCCTCCTTCCCTAGAAAGTCTTAACATTTGATAACAGCTAGTAGTTTCTACCCAAATCATCCTTTCTCCCTCAAAACTCTGGCTTATCTATACTATCTGCTCTTCCTCAGTTCCAAATCTACAGAATATGACTTAATAAAAGACAGTTTATCATTCAGATTGTAGATACAGAATATTGTAAGCCCTGTCTTTGAGCAAGAAAAGTAAGAAATCATGGGGACTTTGGAGAACTTCTTTGGGCAGGATATGAATTATATGTGTGCTTCTATAAAAAAATGAAGAATGAGCCATAACATTTTTTTAGTGGTTACCTGTTAGAGGAAGGAGGAAATGGAGAGAGTGGAGAGGACTGAAATTAGAAGCTAGACTCTTTTGAATATTTCTCGTTTTGTAGATTTTACTTTTGAACCATGTAAATGTATTATGAGAAAAATTAAAATTTAAAAAAGTCATCCCTAAATATTAAAAGAAAAATGAAACCAGTTTGAAGCACAGACATCCATCAAAGATGAAATATTTTAAGTGACTTTAAAACGTAACAATTTGCTGTATATCCTTTGTGAAATATACCCCAAGAAGAAAAAGAATGGCAAAAAACAAAAACCGTGTTTTCAATAATCGTACTGTTGGTGGTAGTGATGAAAATGTTATTTTGTAACTGCTGTGTGTGTAGTGTTTGATAAAGCAAATTAGTGGCAAATTATTGATGCCCTGAGAACAAATAAATTTGGCATGACAGAAAGAAGATATAAATATAATATTGATGAGATTATGCAATAACTCCATAGATCCAAATTTGAATTGGAATTATCAGTATAAACTCATGAATTATTTTAGTTTTAAGGAAAAAAATAAATTTCCTAGCTTCATCGACAGAAAAGCCCTAAAAATAAAAACAATAACTAATAAGGTAATATTATGCAAGCTAGACTGTGGCCTTTAAGTATTACTTTTCACTAAAAGGAAACAAGGCCTGGAACATTCTGTGATACCAAAAGGCAGGGCAGCTATCAAAGACTACTAAGATCATATCTAAGACACAGGAGACAACTTGAAGAGGCTCCCACTAGTTAATAATAATGGGACAATTTGAACATCAGTGAGGATAATAAATACAATGGGTTTCAAAAACACACATTTAAATTCATGATTTCATAATACTACTATAAAAATACTCATTGATTATTTTTGGAGGATGCCTGGAAACTGGTAAATAAATAGAAATAATTAACCTTTTGTCCTTTTCCTATGGAAAATATATATAGCTTGTAGAGTAACCAAGTGTGATCACACAGTTGATGAGGAGAGATTTCTCTTTATGGAAGGATTCCAGTTAATACATGATAAGGAACAAAAAAAATTAGAACATCATCATTTTGCAACCTCTAATGAATTAAAGGGTCATCAGTGGCTGCTAATAAAACAAAGAGGCCTCAACAAGGCATTATGTGCCTTCTGGTAGTATACACCTGATGAGATATATGAGATACTGTTGCCAAAAACATTTTGGAAAGCATCAAATCAGAATCTGATTAAGCCTCTAGATCTAAAGAACAATACACTGGAAATACAGGGGAAAGAGAAACATCTTAAATAACCCTTATTTAACAATCAATAAAATCCATGTTGTATGAAATTCTAAATCAGTACCATCCAGTAGAGGTATATTGCAAGTCATGTATGTAATTTAAGGTTTTCTAGTAGCCCCATTAAAAATAAAAGGAAACAAGTGAAATTATTTTTAATATTATTTAGCCTAATATATATGCAATATTATAATCTCAACATGCAATCAATGTAAAAATTATTAATGAGACACTCACTTTTGTACTAAGCCTTTGAGATATGACGTGCATTTTAAATTTACAGGGCATCTCAGTTTGGACTAGTTACATTTCAGGTGCTCAACAGCTACATGGGGCTAGTGGCTACTATACTGGGCAACACAGCTAGAAAGTACAAATAATGTGGGTTTCTTCAATGAATTACTACAAGGAGAAAAAAAGAGGGGGGGGGAAAACGCTAGCCTAAAAGTAACCTGAGACAATATTAACTAATCATAACATATGAATCAGCTGGGGAAACAAATACCAAGTCAACATTTGATGATATTAAGGCTTTCTGCTGATTTTTAGCTGAAACCATGGTAATATACTTAACATTAAAAAACATGTTATAGATATATGTAACAAGATTTTTTTTAATTAAAAGATTTTATTTATTTATTAGAGAGAGTGAGCACAAGAGGGGATAGGGTCAAAGGGAGAAGCAGACTCCCCCTGAGCAGGGAGCTCGATGTGGAACTCGATCCCAGGACTCCAGGATCATGACCTGAGCCAAAGGCAGTCACTTAACCAACTGAGCCACCCAGTCGCCCTGATATGTAACAAGATATTTGTAAATGAAATTATATGTCTTGTATATGCTTCAAAATAATTAATGAGAGACGGTAAGATTACAAATGAAATATGATTATCCAGGGGCTGATACTTGTTGAACACAGGCATTAGGTAAAAAGGGATTCAGGAAACCACTCTCTTTTCTTTTGCATACATATAGTGCATAATATTTGTCAGGTGCTGATCTAAGGCCTTGTTATGTAATGACTGAATCCTCACAATAAGGAAGGTGCTAATAAGAAAAGTGAGGCATGAAAAGGTTCCATGTCTTGCCCAAGTTCTCAGAAAAGGTAAAGTCTAGATTCAAATTCAGGCATTTTGACTCCAGAATTCAAACTTATAATCACTAACTCTATGATCTAATAAGCTAAAAATCCTGATTCGCTGATTAGTCAGACCAAGGTCTCAAGTTAGATTATATTTGGCTAAAATTTGCTCTATAGCAGAAGAAACAAATTTCTACTGGGGTGTTTTCCTGCCACACAGATATGTATACTTTTCAACTATTTAAACTTCTGTATTTATTCGTACCTGAAAGTCCATGAAGCAAACTTTTCATTCTGTTAATAATAAAATATGGCTAACATGGGAGATAATGACAGTATATAAACTTTATTGTTAATCACGTCACATGTCACTCAAATTATAATGAACTTACTGGGTTTTATTTTCTTTCCCCACCAAGAGCGAAATCCCAGGAAAAACATAAGAAGGCCCTCAGCTCTCAGCTCCCACCTTTGGCTTACTTTGAGGGTCTGTGCAAGCAAGAGTTGTAAACTGCCTACTTAAGACTACTAAGAGAAGGTATGCCGACCACACACAAAAACCTTTTGGCAAATGCTAGAAGACTTGCTGGCTTAAGGCATTTAAGAAAATCTGTGCCCAAGGGAAGCAAGGGCAAAAATGAACTATTGGGATTTTATCAAGATAAAAAGCTTTTGCACAGCAAAAGAAACGGTCAACAAAACCAAAAGACAACTGACAGAATGGGAGAAGATATTTGCAAATGACATATCAGATAAAGGGCTAGTATCCAAAATCTATAAAGAACTTATCAAACT